TAATATATGTATATATATAATTCGAATATTTTTTTCGAATATTTTATATTTCTCGCAGTGTTTAAAAACATTTCAAAATGTATGAGCATTAAGAGTTTCGCCTATACAAGTTGACCCCCAACAAGGCACTGTCTCTGGGTCCGGATCAGGTGCCTATTAGGACTCAAAGTACCCCGACTAACTCCGGACTCGCACTTGCGAGATGGTCAGAAAGTCAGCTGCGGGAACCAGGATTTTCCCTGACCTTCGCTCAGATGTCGTAGTCCTTAAAGTGATTAAAGTGATGGATCCAGAAATTCGAAATAGAGGGTGCCCAGAGAGGGACCTTCACAGATAGACACCTCAGTCCCACCATGGTTGGGGCTGAGGTAAGAAAAATTAAGATTACGTTGCCTCTAGATGGCCAGAAATGGCACTCCCAGGATTTGAATATTATTTTCAGTTTTTTCTCTATTCTTTAAAAATAATTTTGAAATATTTACCAGGGTGGGGCTCAGCTAGTTGGATATGGGTTTTTAGAATTGTAAGTACGGTATTAAAGAGCCATTTTCGGGTACCTCGGTATTTAATTAAGTGGAGTTTTTTTTTTATACACTTGCCTAGGACTTCAATTGCATTCATTTTCTTCACTAAATTACCTAGTCAACTGACAAGAAAAAAATCATGCCTTTATCTGTAAATTTATTCCTGATAGTTCTAGTATGCAACATTATTTTCTATAAATATATATACCGTAAATATACATTTTATTAAGCACTTCTCTTAAATACATGTCAAAAGCGCGGATCCAGAGTTTACCCCGAATAACACAGATGGGCTGCCATGGTAGTTGGGGTCATGAGAAGAGAGCTACTTTTTCTGTCGCTGGAAAATACATTTTAGTATAATATGAAACCCATAAAATATCAATTCAGGTGTTTATTTATGTGTCTGTGGAAATAAATAATTCATATTCATCATAGCCCTGATATTAGTTTAAAACTTAGTTCAGGGGCGGATCCAGAGATGTCAAAAAGAGGGGCCGAAAGTTGGGCCGATCGAGGCAACACTGTATGTCCTAGGGGTCCGGGGGCATCCCCTGCGAACTTTTTGTGTTCTAGACGCCCTAAAATAATATTTGAGGCGTTTAGTCCAATGAAACTGTTTATTATCTTGATACCTTCCGACGAAAACTGACCCTATCAGCGTCACCACGGCGTCCCCACCGATCGATCTAACGTGACGTTGATATGTGGGTGTTTTTGTAGATTATTGAGAATGGTAATATCATCGAAAAAAAAACCAGATTAAATGACAGTTGAATGACCAACAAAGACAACTGAAGACAATAGTCCGTCATTAGAAGTATAACTTTATTCGGAAAATTAATCTCAAAATCGAGTTGCCTTCCCCGGCGTTGTCAGTGACGTCGTATGATTTGTGTGCGATTTTTACCAATTAACCCCTAAGTAAAAAATAGTTGAGCCAGGTAGTACCTTGCAAATCAACCCAGAAACCCGGTAGTTTGCTGATTGTTTATTGGTAGCGTCCCTTCGCGCTTCCAACAATATTTTTTTTGGCAGTTGCGTCCCCGGTGACCTTGTGAAGGCATGGTGAATGCTGGTTACGATTTGGTGGCACATCGATTGAGTATTTTCATTCATCTGGCGATGTAAGTCAGTGGGGTATCTAGATGTCTTGAAATGGGGTGGGGGGAACGAAGGAAGGTGAAGTGGGGTGGTTCGATGATCAGTTAAGGGGCGCTAATTCGCAAAATAAGGTGATTTTATGTGATTTTAAATTACTTGACAGTGATTTGAAACCAGTGTCAGTATAATCTTAGGTAAGCATGTGGTTAACATAAGCAAGAATTTAGTCCAATGAAACTGTTTATCATCTTTATACCTTCCGATGAAAACTGACCCTACCAGCGTCACCACGGCGTCCCCACCGATCGATCTAACGTGACGTTGTTATGTGGGTGTTTTTATAGATTATTGAGAATGGTAATATCACCGAAAAAAAACAGATAAAATGACAGTTGAATGACCAACAAAGACAACTGAAGACAATAGTTCGTCATTGGAAGTATAACTTTATTCGGAAAATTAATCTCAAAATCAAGTTGCCGTCCCCGGTGTCGTCAGTGACGTCGTATGATTTGTGTGCGATTTTTACCAATTAACCCCAAAGTAAAAATAGTTGAGCCATGTAGTACCTTGCAAATCAACTCAGAAACCCGGTAGTTTGTTGATTGTTTATTGGTAGCGTCCCTTCGCTGCCAATAATAGTTTTTTGGCAGTTGCGTCCCCGGTGACATCATGAGGGCATGGTGAAGGCCGGTTACGATTTTGTGGCACATCGATTGAGTATTTTCATTCATCTGGCCATGTAAGTCAGTGCGTATCTAGATGTCTTCAAGGGGGGGGGCTGATGGGGCGCAAAGGTGAAGTGGGTGGGGGAAGGCTCGATGATCAGTTGAGGGGCGGTAATTCGCAAAATAAGGTGATTTTTAACTATTTAACCGTGATTTGAAACCAGTGTCAATATAATCTTAGGTAAGCATGCGGTTAACAAAAGCAAGAATTTAGTCCAATGAAACTGTTTATCATCTTGATACCTTCCGACGAAAATTTACCCTACCGGCGTCACCACGGATTGACCTAACGTGACGTTGTTACGTGGGTGTTTTATAGATTATTGAAAATGGTAATATCACGGAAAAAGTAGATAAAATGACAGTTGAATAACCAAGAAAAACAACTGAAGACAATAGTTCGTCATTAGAAGTTATTTAGTATAACTTTATTTAGAAAATTAATCTCAAAATGAGTTGCCGTTCCCGGCGTTGTCAGTGATGTCGTAAGATGTGTGTGCGATTTTTAACAATTAACCCCAAAGTAAAAAATAGTTGAGCCATGTAGTACCTTGCAAATCAACCCAGAAACCCGGTAGTTTGTTGATTGTTTATTGGTAGCGTCCCTTCGCTGCCAAAAATAGACTTTTGGCAGTTGCGTCCCCGGTGACATCGTGAGGGCATGGTGAAGGCTGGTTACGATTTGGTGGCACATCGATTGGGTGATTTCGTCATTAGAAGTTATTTAGTACAACTCACTAACCTCACTTCACTTTCGCGCCCCACAGTGTGGGGCGCGAAGGTGAAGTGAGGGTTTATGGGCTATCATTTTTTTTTCTTTTCTTTCTTTTTTTCCTTTTTTTAACCTTCCAAAATGGGGGCTGGGGCCGCCCCCCCTAAATCTCCCCTGTATTTTTATATAAACATATTTTTAAAACTATATACCGTATTAGATTTCTACTGCAGAACATTAAAATTGGTGTATGGGCCTACACAATGGAAAAATAGCCAATTTATCCCGGGGCCTCCAGCCCCTGAACCCCGTCCGCGGGCCCACTGGCCCCCAGCCTCAGTGCTCGCTAATTCTCTGGCATCCTGGTCCTGACCACTTCAATTCTCGTGGCTGGCCCTGACCCCCTCCCTTCCTTAAATCCTAGATACGCCACTGTTGCTGAGAACATTAGTTAATAGAAATATATTTTCATTCGTTTAGTTGTTCATGTGAATGTCTGATTGATTAATTCTTTAAAATAGTGCTAAAAACACCCAGGGTCAATGCCAAGAGAGGCACATGTACGACTGAGCTGAGCGACTCCAAATTAGTAGAGGTTACGTAAATGAAGTCCTAATGGTAATGTTTAAAATAAAATCAATGAATATGTATATAAGTATGATTGTTGAAAAAATGGTCAAAATTTTATTTTTATTTCTCACCCTGACCTTCGCCTGGGCAATCTGGGCGAAGGTCTGGATATCACC